TAGAATTATTTTAATTTACATTTAAGCAAACCCGTACCAAGTTTGGCGAACCGGTCAGTCGAGACTACGATCTTGTAAAGGTTTGCGAGTTAATTCCACAAGATAACACTCATGTATTAGTTACCCAATAAAGACAGGAAATTTTGAAAGAGACATCAATAAGTCAATAAGGGGGGTGTATTGGACTTCGTATTTGGAAGATTTTGTGGATTTTAAATTTGGGGAGACACTGAAGGACATCTGATGATTTGGTTGATTTTTAAAAGATTTCTTTTAATTAGTAATAAAATTTAGTAATGTTACTTCACATATGCTTTTAAAATTCATTTCTTTATTTTAAATGATTAATTTAAAAAAAAAATTAAGAGTATGGGAAAGACGGTTTCAGCTTGGTCTTTGCCTCTTTGGAAATCAAAATTATACATACGCGCGTATTTTTCGTAAGAAATTGGTAAGAAACAGACGTTTCCTACCAATTTCCTACGATTTTGACCGTAGGAAAACGTTGCATTTTTTGTAGTGAGCGTGTGACGTTTAATGAGATTAGACTTGGTTATTATCGAGCCGCTTAGGTTGTTAATTGATAGAAACAAAACAGTTTGTTATGTCTTCTTTATAGAAGCAGAGCTTCGTTTTCCACTTTAGTACGAGTGAAATCGATTGCAAAGAGAAATGAAAGCTTGTAAACAGATTCAAGATAGTGTAATCTTACGGGCACGCAGAGATGTAGATCACTGAATTGGTGGCGTTTTAATGCTATGTTCCTTCTTTTTCTTGATTGTCTTCGATATACAAACGATTGATCGTGTTTAAATTCGATTTACAGCTGTGAAAACTTGAGGAGATCATAAGGAACAACATGTGAAACATCTCTAAATTATACAAATTTAATTTGGTATTATAAATGCCTTCTAATCTTATATATCTTTATTCTTAAGAAAATAAGACTGGATCTCAATGGATGGTGGAAGAATTGCCACTTAATGTATAGTTCAAGTCTTCAAGAAGTTTTGCACGATCACGGAAAAGATTTTGCCAATGAAACCCCTTATTTATTGATTAACATAAATAAAATAAAAACCTGCGTAATTCACAAGTAAACGTCTTTCTTCTGGGCCCACTAGTTTTTTTTTTTTTTTTTTTTTTGTTATAGCTGTGGAATTTCATTTTGCATATTCTATATTCCCTGTTTATTTAAAGAAAAGAGCTGCAGAAAAGGCATAATCCATCCTAGATGTTATGGTGTTAACATCAAAATTAGTGTTTCGCAAGACTTGTTCAAGATGAAACGGAGAAACGCACCAATTCAAATCATTCAAATTGCTTTTTAATACTATATCTAATTATCTATAGCATCATGATTTTTCTTTTCTTTTTTTTTTTTCTATTACTTAGATCACCAAGTTGCAGGCTTATTCTGTTATCATCCCTTGCCTCAAAACAAAGCATTCCCAAGAAACTACCAAACTTAAGATTTTCAAGTCATGGCGGGTCAAACCATGGTAAGAATCAGCTTTGATAGCTCGGAAGAGAGACTACGGTGGTCCTTTGTCCCCCATCTCTCTGCGGCATTTGGCCGTAAAGGCATCTCTGTGTCCACAAGTATGAACGATGAGTTTGTAGCTTCCTTGTTGGTTTTTTCTGAGAAATACGTGTCTTCCAAGGAATCTTTAGATGAAGTCGTTAAGACTATCCAACAGAGACATGACAAAGGCCATGTGGTGGCCACTGTATTTTATGGAGTCAGCAGGTCAGATGTGCAAGAACTGAAGGGGAATTTCGGAAAGGTGTTACTTGAAAATGGGGCTTCAGATCAAGTAACGCAATGGCACAACGCTCTTGCGGAAATAGCAAGCTTACCTGGCTATGAAGCAAGCAATACTCAAAGGTTAGAAATACCCTCTTATTTTTTTTTTTTTTTTGCTTAATACAGATTACAGAATGTATCATAGTAAGTGGTAAGGGAAATATATATGGTTTTTGTAGTGATTACGAATTTGTCGAAAAGATTACGAGAGATGTTTATGAGAAGATCTTTCCAAAGGAACGAATAGGAATCTACTCAAGGATGCTGCCAGCTATAGAAAACTTGCTATGCAAGCAACCATGGGGAGTTAAAAGCATAGGGATTTGTGGTATGCCAGGCATAGGCAAGACAGCGCTTGCTAAAGCAGTCTTTGACCAAATGTCTGGTGGCTATGAAGTCACTTGCTTCGTCGAAAATTTTCATGAAGCCTTTCACAAGAAGGGACTTTACGGTTTGCTGCAGGAACATTTCAAGAACCTTCCAAACAAAACACTTCAACAAAGAGTTCTTGTTGTTCTTGATGATGTGCGAAACCATCTAGATGCAGAGTCTTTTCTCGCTGAGCTTTTCTTGTTTAGCCGTGGAAGCCTGATCATAGTAACCACCAGAGATGAGCAAGTGCTTTCTCAGTGTCGAGTCAATCAAACATACAAAGTTGAAGGATTAAACAAGCAAGAGTCTCTGCAACTATTTTCCTTGTGTGCATTTGAAAGAAATGTGACAGACAAGAATCCTCTTCCAGAGCTTTCTATGAAGTTGATAGAACACGCTAATGGAAACCCTTTAGCTTTAAGATTATACGCCGAAGATATGTCCTCACACAAGAAGCTGAATCAAAAGGAGACTTTGTTCCTCATGCAAGCTCCTCCACATCAGATTACGGAAGTAGTCAAGAGTAGCTACAATGCACTCAGTGACAACGAAAAGAACATACTTGTGTATATTGCTTATTTCTTCATAGGCGCAAATGTCGATGATGTATCCAAACTACTTGAAGACCTTGGTTTCTTTCCGGATTTTGGAATCGGCCGGCTTGTGGAGAACTCTCTGGTGACTATTTCAGAAAACAGATTTGAAATGCATAGCATGATTGAGGCAGTAGTCCGGGAAATCGGGAGGTGTCATAGATTCAAAATCAACAAAGACCCTAAAACAAGTTTCAAATGTGTATTGGTCAGTCTTATTCTACCATCCATCCAAAAAAGTTTTCACTTTAGCTTCTTGATCACCTCATAATCTATTATCTTGTGTGTTTTCAGGGCACTAAAGATATCGAAGCGATGTCTCTTGATGCATCTAACTTAAACCCAGATGTCAAACTTTCTTCACTTGCATATATGTATAACCTTAGATTCCTGAAGATTTATTATTCTGACCCTAAAAACAGTCGCAAGGCTCTCGAGTCTTTGCCCTGTGGGCTTAGACTTCTTCATTGGGAATATTACCCTTTGCAATCTTTACCACAAGATTTTAATACAAGCAACCTTGTTGAGCTCAATATGCCTTATAGTCAACTCCAAAGACTTTGGGGAGGAACCAAAGTAAGCAAACTTAAATGAAAAAGTAAGACCTTTTCTGTTACCAATATTGACTTCAACTATGTTTCTCTTTGTTCAGAACCTCAAGATGCTGAAGAGGATCAACCTTCGCCATTCAGAGAAGTTGTATGAAGCTGAGGAACTTTCAGAAGCTTTAAACCTTGAGCAAATTGATCTCAGTGGCTGTAAGAACTTGCAAAGTTTTCCAGCCATTCATCAATTGCAAAAACTCCAAGTTGTTGATCTCTCTGGTTGCACACAAATCAAAAGTTACCCTGAGTTTCCATCTAATGTCACATTGAAATTCCAGGGAACTACCATTAAGAAATTCTTCCCTCCAGTCACATTCACCATCAAGAGCTTACTGGAGCTCTTCGACAATCCTTCTGGACAACAAATCTTTGACGACTTTCGGAAACTCGGAAGCTTCTTGAGTAGCCAAGAAAGGATAACAAATCCAGATATGATGGAATCACCAACCATATTAGCTATGATATTGCAGAAAGCAATAAAAAGAACCTCAAGTCTTCAGTTGTAAGTAGCCAAATCGAAGGATACGGGTACACAAATCGTCAAGGAGGATATTTGCTTTTCAGCGGACCAGATTTACTATATAAATGAAGTCTTCTCATGTTCCTTATCATGCATGACTACAAAAAACAAAAAAAATGTTCTGTTTTGATGTCATTGTTCCATAAAGATGTAATATTTTCAGTGTGTTAAGTGAGCTTTTGCTGTTAAAGACGGATTTTCAAATGTTTTATTCGAGTGTTTGTTTTTCGAATTATGTCATGTTAGTTGTTGCTTGTGCGTAGTATTTTTAGACTGAAAAAATTCAGGCCTGGTCAGGTCGGAATACATTTGCGCCCTCTAAGCTGAAGCCGGGCTGATTTAAAATGATGTTCGTTAGTTCATCTTGATGGTCCATCCTTAATACTACATGCGAATTCTTAAAAACTAAACAAAGCTTTATTCAGATAGTCAATCCAGATGCACAACCAAATACAAAAACGAACAACATCCAAATGCATCATCTGTATGCATCATCGAGATGAACAAGCAAAGATGAGTTCAAGTCAGAATAAAGATGATAAATCTTAGCTATTCTCAGAAACTACTTGAAGTTGACGAACTCGCGAAAGCTTGTAGCCTTGAGAAAACAAATCTTTAAGGTTGTACAAGCTTGAAGAGCATCCCACGGCTAAAGAATCTTTAATTTCTGAATCTATCTGGTTGCAGGAGTATCAAACGTACGGAGGAGGCATAAAGAAGATAAAAGGACTGAATTAAGAAGGCTGCTTAAGGGATACTACATTTGAATCACATGTGTTCGAAATACTATGTTGAAGTCTCTTGAGCTGCTCAAACGTTCAAGCTTCCTCCCAGATATGTCTAGAAAAAAATGCTAGTGCTAGAGAGACTCTGATCAAATAGTTATTTTTCTTACTTATATTTTTGTTTTAATTTTAAACTTATTGAGCAACAAAAAATACTTTTTACAGCAAAAAAAAGACGTCGATGCTACGAAGAAAATGCGAAAGCAATTTTATTTCATGTGGAAAGGTAGATAAAATAGAAAGTGAGCAGATCAAAGAGTGTTTTGAGAAGCCAATATCACCAAAAACAGAAAAAATCCGAAGAGAATGTCGGACGGCATTGATTCATACCATGCGGCCATTAGTAGATATCAAGACCTCCATCCATACTGATGATTAGGAGGAGCATGACGAATCACCTCTGTAATGATCGAGCTGGCACTTGGCAGGATATAAACATGATGAAAACGTTTTTCAAATTTTATCTCATGACAAGACAAGCAGAGGAAGATAGTACCTCTGTTTGGCTTTGGCCCAATCAGATTTGGATTTTGCTCTGTTTTTTCTTACTCTGTTTTGTTCAGTGGAGGACAAGCTACTTCTACTTGCTGAAGACGAAACCATTAACAGCCAATATTTCTGACGATAAGATTTACTGAATTTTTCATTATAATAACATATCAAAGAAAAGGATTAAACATATAGTTTAGCCTTGCGTTGCAAAGAACAAGCCAGTTTTGTTGGAAATCTTGCTCAGCACTCTCTATCATTGTCAGATGCACGTTCAGCAAATCTTTGGTCCATACGTTTCTTGATGTTCCATTGAAATTATAAACATCATCTTGTTAAGCTACTGAAGAGCTTGTGGTTGAAGTCTCTACCAAAGTAGCCTTTCTTAATCACTTTTACACTAAGTCTCACTCCAACCTCTTGAGGAACAAGATACAAGGATTTTAACAAAGAGTTATAAGAACAATCTTTGATGCTTGAGAGCGATTCAAAAACTATGTATTAAAGTATATCTTTCACTACCAGTTCCATGGGGCTTATACACCAAAGAGACCCAAAACCAAGAATCAAATAATACTCAAAACAAGAAATAGGAGACAAATTAAATAAGGAACATAAAACTGATAACCTAATTTAAAACAAAAAAAAAAAGTATCAAATACTGCACTTCATCACCCAGCATCTGCAACTTTAAAAAGAATCAATGGTAAGACACTATTGGTCCAATAGTATTGGATATAACTGTGGTATTTCAAAACGAAGCTAACCCCAATATCATTCAAAGAATCAATGATCAGAGTACTTTTGGTAAAATGACAAAGAAACAATTTCAGGAGCTCTCAAGTTTTTACTTATAAAGAAACATTTTTTTTCAATGAGACATAACCAGAATCCTTAACTCAATAATTTAATGATAATAAATTACTCTGCTGAAGTAAATAAACCAACGTTTTGGTGATCTTCATGTGTGATTCTTTACCATCAAAATTGAGCTTCAGGCTTTCTCCATACAAAAAGAGGATTGCCCGCTTTCCACTTTGCATATGGCTTGTAGCATTTTCAAGACCTCCTTGACGATAGTTTCAACGAAATCAATCTCCAATAAGCTACTACACTTGTTTAAAAAAAGGTCGAGATGAGTTCTTTCAAAGTTCACACATGAGCGTGCACAAATACATAAAAAAGTTGCACGACTTCGACGAATTTAATCAGATGTAACGATACGTTAACATTTCCGATGAACTAATTAAGTAAATGCATATACAATGTTGAAATATGTCAAACTTTTGTTTATAGATTAGAGATGTCTTTCGCCTCTCAATAAAACATAGAATTAAAAGTATGAATTGACATTCGTACCTTTTTTCATCCAAAGCCAGGGCAAACTTATGGGAGACAGACACGATCGCCTCTTTCCATTGCTTTATCATAGGTTCGTCAGACTTGTACATGTATTCCTTATCTCTGAAATGGTCACCAAACTCTCCCTTAAGTCTTTTCACATTGGTTGGAGTCACCTTGTAGAAGATAGGAAGCACCTTGTGATAGAGAGTAACAATATTCCCAAAGTTAGTAATATGTGTCAAAAGATGTATAATCTGCACCTTCAATAGTAAGTAATAACATTGGTATAGATCTTAAATCAATTTCTTTTCCTAAATAAGATATATAGAGGTATATCCAATGTTTATTGATCACACCTTGAGCAGGCCTTCGTCCACACGTTCTTTAATCTTAACAAGCTCACAACTATGGCAATCCCAGATTCTTCGATCCTCTTGAAAAGAGTGTTGAGGTCTTCACCTCTTTGCTCCTCATTGTCTATGAACACGTTGATCTCACTTCTCCGAAGTGCATCCACAAGATAGCTGACGAAATTGTAGTGCAACTGATCTCCGCGGAAATTGATGAAAACTTGGATATTTCTCGGTGGCTTAACTTCACCGTGCATTCGCGACTTGGTGAAAGTTCTTCGCACCAAAAGAGATAACATGTATTTTTAAAAACGATTCCATGACAAAATATGTTTTGCCCTTTTGTATATTTCATTTACAAAACAAAATTTTGGGAAATATCCATATTTACCCTTTTCACTTTTTTTTTCTTTTTTTTTTGCTAAAAATGTAAATATTTCAATGATAATGAAAAATGTTTAGGTTTACAATCAAGATTTAAAACCTTATTCTCTAAATATTATTTTGAAAACTATGTATTTTAATTATAAATAAATAACAATTTTTTAAAAAAAATTAATAAGACAAATTTTTTATTTTTGTAAATTTCGCGAGATTATCTCTCCGATTACCTTCAATTCTCAACACATATCTCAAATTCGCTTAATTTTCTTTGAAAACGACAAAAGCATCTCCCAAAATCCCCATCGGAGAACATAGGTTGCAGAAAATCGGTGAAAATTTGTTATTTGTTGGTGAGATTTGTTTCACTTTTTTCTTGGGTGAATTTGTGCAGAAACAAAAACTGGACATAAAATTAGCTAATCGACAATATGAGTTTTTGGTCTTTAACAAAGATAAATAAATTAGATAAATGGATTTGGAGTTCAGTTTAATTACGAAAAAAACACCACTTGATTTATCTCTGCGCGTGGAGAGATGCTTTTGACTTTTAAGACATCGAAAATAAAACCTGACATGTAATAAATGTTCACCAGTTGATAGAAATAACGGGGTGACAATTATTAAATGCAATCGACTTTTTTTGAACTTTATCTAATTTGAAACAATAACGAAAACAGTTTTAGATGGGAATCGAAAAATGTAAACAACCAACATAGTTGTATGGACACCCAAGAAATAGTTTTTCGATTTTTTTAAACAACTAACCTAGCTGCATGGACATCCAATGAATATTTTACACGATTTTGACATTTATATACAGATAAACAAATACATAGAGCGTTAAAAATAATTATAGTGTTAAATACTTCGGTCTATGTGTACATGTAAATACATATAATATTCATATAAAGCGTTATTAACATTTGTATACATGTAAACACGTACATGGAGCGTTATTAGCAAATTGATCTCAGTGGCTGTAAGAACTTGCAAAGTTTTCCAGCCATTTATCAATTGCAAAAACTCCAAGTTGTTGATCTCTCTGGTTGCACACAAATCAAAAGTTACCCTGAGTTTCTATCTAATGTCACATTGAAATTCCAGGGAACTACCATTAAGAAATTCTTCCCTCCAGTCACATTCACCATCAAAAGCTTACTGGAGCTCTTCGACAATCCTTCTGGACAACAAATCTTTGACTTTCAGAAACTCGGAAGCTTCTTGAGTAGCCAAGAAAGGATAACAAATCCAGATATGATGGAATCACCAACCATATTAGCTATGATATTGCAGAAAGCAATAAAAAGAACCTCAAGTCTTCAGTTGAAGTAGCCAAATCGAAGGATATGGGTACACAAATCTCTCGTCTTGAGCATTTGGAGTTCAAAAACGTCAAAGAGGAGATTTGCATTTCAGCGGACCAGATTTACTATATAAATGAAGTCTTCTTCTCATGTTCCCTGTCAATAATTGTCATGCATGACTAAAAAAACAAAAAAAAAACGTTCTGTTTTGATATCATTGTTCCATAAAGATGTAATATTTTCAGTGTGTTCAGTGAGCTTTTGCTGTTAAAGACGGACTTTCATATGTTTTATTTGAGTGTTTATTTTCCGAATTATGTCATGTGCTTGTGCGTAGTATTTTTTAGACTGAAAAAATTCAGGCCTGGTCAGGTCGGAATACATTTGCGCCCGCTAAGCTGAGGCCGGGCTGATTTAAAATGATGTTCGTTAGTTCATCTGGATGGTCCATCCTTAATACTACATGAGAATTCTTAAAAACTAAACATAAGCTTTATTCAGATAGTCAATCCAGATGCACAACCAAATACAAAAACGAACAACATCCAGATGCATCATCTGTATGCATCATCGAGATGAACCAACGAAGATGAGTTCTAGCCAGATTAAAGATGATAAATCTTAGCCACTCTCAGAAACTACTTGACGTTGACGAACTCGCGAAAGCTTGTAGCCTCGAGAAAACAGATCTTTAAGGTTGTACAAGCTTGAAGAGCATCCCACAGCTAAAGAATCTTTAATTTCTGAATCTATCTGGTTGCAGGAGTATCAAACGTACGGAGGAGGCATAAAGAAGATAAAAGGACTGAATTAAGAAGGCTGCTTAAGAGATACTACATTTAAATCAAATGTGTTCGAATTACTATGTTGAAGTCTCTTGAGCTACTCAAACGTTCAACCTTCCTCCCAGATATATTTTTGTTTTAATTTTAAACTTATTGAGAGACAAAAAAATACTTTTTACAGCAATAAAAAGACGTTGATGCTAAGAAGAAAATGCGAAAGCAATTTTAATTCAAGTGGAAAGGTAGATAAAATAGAAAGTGAGCAGATCAAAGAGTGTTTTGAGAAGCCAATCTCACCAAAAACAGAAAAATCCGAAGAGAATGTCGGACGGCATTGATTCATACCATGCCGCCATTAGTAGATATCAAGACCTCCATTCATACTGATGATTAGGAGGAGCATGACGAATCACCTCTGTAATGATCGAGCTGGCACTTGGCAGGATATAAACATGATGAAAACGTTTTTCAAATTTTATCTCATGACAAGACAAGCAGAGGAAGATAGTACCTCTGTTTGGCTTTGGCCCAATCGGATTTGGATTTTGCTCTGTTTTTTCTTACTCTGTTTTGTTCAGTGGAGGACAAGCTACTTCTACTTGCTGAAGACGAAACCATTAACAGCCAATATTTCTGACGATAAGATTTACTGAATTTTTCATTATAATAACATATCAAAGAAAAGGATTAAACATATAGTTTAGCCTTGCGTTGCAAAGAACAAGCCAGTTTTGTTGGAAATCTTGCTCAGCACTCTCTATCATTGTCAGATGCACGTTCAGCAAATCTTTGGTCCATACGTTTCTTGATGTTCCATTGAAATTATAAACATCATCTTGTTAAGCTACTGAAGAGCTTGTGGTTGAAGTCTCTACCAAAGTAGCCTTTCTTAATCACTTTTACACTAAGTCTCACTCCAACCTCTTGAGGAACAAGATACAAGGATTTTAACAAAGAGTTATAAGAACAATCTTTGATGCTTGAGAGCGATTCAAAAACTATGTATTAAAGTATATCTTTCACTACCAGTTCCATGGGGCTTATACACCAAAGAGACCCAAAACCAAGAATCAAATAATACTCAAAACAAGAAATAGGAGACAAATTAAATAAGGAACATAAAACTGATAACCTAATTTAAAACAAAAAAAAAAAGTATCAAATACTGCACTTCATCACCCAGCATCTGCAACTTTAAAAAGAATCAATGGTAAGACACTATTGGTCCAATAGTATTGGATATAACTGTGGTATTTCAAAACGAAGCTAACCCCAATATCATTCAAAGAATCAATGATCATAGTACTTTTGGTAAAATGACAAAGAAACAATTTCAGGAGCTCTCAAGTTTTTACTTATAAAGAAACATTTTTTTTCAATGAGACATAACCAGAATCCTTAACTCAATAATTTAATGATAATAAATTACTCTGCTTAAGTACATAAACCAACGTTTTGGTGCTCTTCATGTGTGATTCTTTACCATCAAAATTGAGCTTCAGGCTTTCTCCACACAAAAAGAGGATTGACCGCTTTCCCCTTTGCATATGGCTTGTAGCATTTTCAAGACCTCCTTGACGACAGTTTCAACGAAATCAATCTCCAATACGCTACTACACTTGTTTTAAAAAAAGGTCGAGATGAGTTCTTTCAAAGTTCACACATGAGCGTGCACAGATACATAAAAAAGTTGCACGACTTCGATGAATTTAATCAGATGTAACGATACGTTAACATTTCCGATGAACTAATTAAGTAAATGTATATACAATGTTGAAATATGTCAAACTTTTGTTTATAGATTAGAGATTTCTTTCGCCTCTCAATAAAACATAGAATTAAAAGTATGAATTGACATTCGTACCTTTTTTCATCCAAAGCCAGGGCAAACTTATGGGAGACAAACACGATCGCCTCTTTCCATTACTTTATCATAGGTTCGTCAGACTTGTACATGTATTCTTTATCTCTGAAATGGTCACCAAACTCTCCCTTAAGTCTTTTCACATTGGTGGGAGTCACCTTGTAGAAGATAGGAAGCACCTTGTGATAGAGAGTAACGATATTCCCAATGTTAGTAATATGTGTCAAAAGATGTATAATCTGCACCTTCAATAGTAAGTAATAACATTGGTATAGATCTTAAATCAATTTCTTTTCCTAAATAAGATA